GGTGTGGGAATGGCGGGGCAAGGACCTGAATGTCCCCAGTTCTCAGTGTGGCTCCTGCAATGGTGTATGGGGGCAGGGTGCAGTTGCCCATTCTCCTGAAGCTTTCTGGGGTTCAGTTAGCTCCCATGGCAGTGGGGGAGGGGTAGGTGCACAGTCACCAAGGATTCTGTAGATGTCAGGGCTCAGCTTGGCTCCCACATGGTGTTCCCAAAGCTGTCCGAGGTTCAGTCTCACTCCTACAATGGTGCAGGTGTGGGCCAGTCCTGGTCATCTAGGTTTCCCAAGCTGCCCAGTGTTCAACCCAGCTTCCACAAGGGTGCACGGCTGGGCAGATTATGGTCACCAAAGCTCCTAAAACTGTCCAGGACCCACCTGGGGTCCCATGCCTATGGAGGAGGGGTAAGGACACAGTCACCCTGGTTGGTGAAGCTGTCCAGGATTCAGGTCAGCTCTCATGAGGGTGCAGTGGGGGAGTCGCCACTGAGGCCCCTGAAGCTGTCTGGGTCTCCGCTTGGCTCACATGCTGGTGGAGGAGGAGTGAGTGTGGCTCACTGGGGTCCTGAAGTTGTCTAGGGTTCAGCCCAGCTTCCACAAGCATGTGGGGAGTGCAGGAAGGAGAAAACAACTTTTAACCCAGACTAATATATCCTGCCAAAGTATCTTTCAAAGTTGATGGAGAAAAAAGTATTTCCATTACAAAAGCCACCTTAAGAAATTCATGACCATCAAATGAGCTCTCCAAAAAATTCTCAAGGGATATCCTCAAGGAAAAGATAATAATTATAAACTACATTCAACAAACACTGGCACACCCAGCTTCATAAAACAAGTCTTACTGGACAAAAAGGTTAGATAAACATCAATGCAGTCATAATGAGAACCTCAATGCCCTACTATCAAAAAAAGATAACCTAGATAAAGAAAACAAAAAAATAGAGTTGAATCACACTCACTAATAAATCGACTTAATAGCTATCTATCTACAGAGTGTTCCACTCAACAACAGCATGCACTCTCTTCTCAGCAACACATGGAACTTTCTCCAAAATAGACCACATGTTACCAGCCTATGAAACATGTTTAAGTAAACAAAAAAGATTCCAGATTATCCCATGCATATTATCAGATCACACTGCAATAAAACAAACTAGAATTCAATTGCAAAACAAACTGCAGAAAGTATGCAAAAGCACAGAGATTGCACAATGTACTCTTGAATAATCAAAGGGTCACAGAAGAAAAATCGAAGAAGGAACTACATCATTCATAGAATCAAACCTCAATGCCAGTAGAACATATCAGAACTCGTGGGACAAAATGAAAGCAGTCCTAAGAGGGAAATGTATGTCTGCAAATGCCCACATCAGGAAAACAGGGTGAGTCCAAATAACCTAATGACGTACTACATGGTCCTAAATAAATAAGAACAATAGCAATCCAACATAGTACAAGGAAGGAAATTATAAAGATCATAGCATAAATTAATGCACTGAGTCAAAAAATTACAAAGAATCAACAAATTGAAGAGCTGTTTCCCAAAAAAGTAAACAAAATAGACAAACTCTTAGCCAAATTTATCAATGAAATGAGCCAAATTTATCAATGAGATGAATTAGAAGTGAAAAGCATGAAATAACAGTGGACACTGCTGAAATCCAGGTTATTAGTATCTACTTCAAAAACTTGTACTCCAAGAAATTGGAGAATCTAGATGAAGTAGATAAATTCCTAGATGCCTGCAAATCACCAAAAATGAACTGAGAGGGTATAAAAACCCAGTGACAGCAATGGAATTGAGGTAGAAATAAGAAGCCTACTAAGGAAAGCCCAGGACCAGATGGATTCACCACTGAATTCTAGAAGAACTTCGGGGCAAATCTAATGTCAAATTCTCAAACTTTGTAATGAAAGTGAAGGTGTGCTGCTAAGTTCATTCCTGGAAGACAGCATCACTTGGATTCCAAAACCACACAAGGGCTCAACTCAAACAAGAGAACAATGGTCCTATCTTTTAGTGAATGCAGATGCAAAAATCCTCAACAAAATACTGGCAAACAGAGTGCAACAAATTATTGAAAGATTTTACATCCTGACCAAATAGGCTTTATCCCAGGGATACAAGGATGGTTTAATATATGAAAATCAGTAAATGTAATACACTATATAAACAGAAGCAAGGACAATAATCATACTGCAATCTCAATAGATATAAATTAGTCATAATAAAAATTCTGAAGAAAGTAAGTATAGAAGGACATTATATCAATCTAATAAAAGCCACTTATGACAAGCCTACTGTCAAATTCATATCAAATGGGAAAGAACTAAAAGCCTTTTTCTCTAAAATCAGGAACAAGACAAGGATGTCTACTATCACCACTGTTGTTCAACATAGTACTCAAAACTCTAGCCACAGCAGTCAACCAAAAGAAAGAAAGAAGAGGGATACGTATAAGAAAGGAAGAAGTCAAACTATCCACAGATGATACGATCCTTTAAGTGGAAGACACTAAAAATTCCACCAAAGCCTCCTAGAACTAATAAAAAAATTCAGCAGTGTAGCAGAACACAAAATCAACGCACAAAAATCAATAGCATTCCTGTACACCAATAATGAACCCATCAGTGAGGAAAATTAGGAAAATAATACCATTCAGGTAGCTTCAAGAAAAATTAAATGCTTAGGAATTAACCAAAGAAGTGAAAGAGCTCTATAATAAAACTATAGTATTCTGGAAAAGGAGAGTGGAGAGTTATTTCCTGCCGGGGAGTTACAGGAGTATGTCTTAGTGTGTCCCTATGAGTTTTAGTTTTTTGTTTTGTTTTGTTTTGTCTTAGATACATGCTCACTGATTTCCAGGGTTTTCTCTTTCCAAACCAAGGTGAATTTCATTATTTATGTCCTCACTGGGTATCTCTGAGTTCTGTTTCAAGCATGAAACATAATGAAGGACAGGCATAAAGTTGTTCTTCGTCACATTCCTACGAGGTAGGTATTAATAGAAGTTCAAGGTCATACCTCTCATAAGCATGGGAATCGATACTTACTATAAAAACATCTATAAGAAAACTGTTTGTAACCCCAAAGGGCTGAAGAATGAATGATGGGGATCACATGTCCAAGCGTTAACCAGTGTCTGCATTATTTTGGAATTTTAATGGTGTATTTACTTCTAAAACAATTGTGATTTGTGACATGCTTAATTTTTAGAGTCATCTGCAAGGACTCTGTATCTAACCAATATCCTCAGGAATTTCAAGAGTTATTATCCACTTAGCCTTCTGAAAACAACAAAACATACCTTAAGAACATAATTAAGTGATTACAGGGGTATGTGAACAAAGCCATCAATGTGGTGAGGACGGTGGTGAACCTAAGCCTGTCTAGATGATGGTTGCCATCTGCCAATGTAGCAAAGCCTTTGTGACCCCAGTGGAACCGGCTTCAGCTCGCGTCCTGTCCACTCCCAGGGTCCCACCATGCTGTGTGCTAGCCTCCGCCCCTTCCTGCTTACAGGGCTGTTTTTCATTGCTTCAAACTGTTGGGACCTGTTGAAAAAATTATGTCACTAACCATTTTGTTGCTCTGGCCCCTGGAGATGCATGGGCCTCTTTTTTTCTGTACAAGTCTGTCTAGATCTGGACTTGAGGGCTCAAAGTCACTCCTTACCGAGCATACCTGGGCCTGCATCAGCCACTGTGGCCGGCCCTGGCGTGGGTTTCCTATGGAAACCAACAAGATCCAATAATAATGATGAGTTCTGGAGAAGAGACTAAGATAAATCAAAGAAGGAGAATTCTGAGAAGAGAAGAGATGTAGTTAGAGAATTTTATAAGTGGTGATCAAGAATACGTAGAAAGAAATTAGACTTGTAAGCTTACCCCTTGGTGGCTATCAACCCTTTAATAAAGGGAAAACTCCACTGCGTGTCTATTGAAAATGTAAAGGTTTTAAATAAAATAGGTTTCTGGTTGGGTGATTTTTACCATATTTTAAGAACATGGTAAGAAAAATACTTTTCTTAATGCAGTAGCTTATTGTTTTATTGCAAGAAGGCACAGGTCCAAAATGGGGAGAGAGAAACCTGGGGTGGAATGATGGTGTGTTCCTTCCAACACTCATAGAACTTATTTATTCAACAAATAACGTCTTATTATAGTGTGTGTGCCAGCTATTGTGTGAGTCTGTAGGGATCCAAAGTCAATCAATATGGTCCTGTCACACAACTTGTTTACCTTTGAGCAGGCAGTAGAGACGTCTCAGTGTACGAGAAGCACATTACAAAGCACACTCCAGACAACCCACTCGGATTAGATTCAGGAAATTCAGAATCTGTTTCTTGGAGAAACAATACATGTTTGTCTTCCTGGACACCTGAAGGTGTCTATCAAGAAGAAAACCATTTCCCATGTGGGTTCATGGGATCACTGTCTCAACCACATTGTCCGGGTAAAATGAATATGGAATTCATAGCTAGGATGGGTCCAGCCAAGACTACATTCCTGTCTGCCTTTACAGCCCAGCCACTGCACTGGAAGCAGAACTGGTCCTGGGGGTGCAGGTGGGAACCATGGAGGGTGGGGTGGTGGCTGTTCAGCCTCGGGAGTGAGAGCTCGGGAATGCCCAGGCACCCTCAGACAGAATCACTGCAGTTTGCTACTCTGGGGAGCAAATGGAGCTGTGACTTGGGCCTCCTTCCCTTCCTCATGGGCACAGATCACCCAGCAGTCAAGTTCCTCGACCTGCTGCAATCCCCGTTTGCTTCCCATGAGCACAAAACCCAAGGCTTGAAATAGAAAGGTGTCTGTGTCACAGGAGCTGATTTGGTTACTGGAATTCCTACTAAAGTGGCAGGCCCTGTACCCAAACTCTTCTTACAGTAAAGCTCAAAATACAACCGTAAGAAAATCCTTCTCTTGGTGCACCTGATTCTGCATACCATAATTTATGCTGAAAACGAGCGGAAGATTAAGAAACAATAACAAATTGTTTTCTCAGAAATAAAACTTTATTTTTTACCATGCATCAAAATAATAGCCTGAAGGAAAAAGTCTGCCACTGGGGAGACTTAAATTTGTAGAAAAATATGACGGGTCAGTGAGACAGAGACTCACGCAATAGGTGCTTCAATCTTTGGTTATGCATGTGTTTAAGGCAAGGATTCAAACGATGGGAGCTGGGATTCTTCTACTGTCGTCAGACGGGGCCAGGATAAGCTGCGTAATTATGTAGGGCACTCGCCGTCTGACCCAGCAGGTGTGGTCTCCAGAAGTATGTGTGACTTTCCCCAAAGCCAGGCATGCAGTGACCATGGGGAGCTCAGCAGCAGCAGGGGTCAAGGCTGGAGCCCCTGCAGGTCACACGGCACGGAGCAGGCTGGCAGCACGGAGGGCGGCAGCAGGGTGCCTGCACGCTCACCGGCTGGCAGCAGGTGGACGCCCAGCAGCAGGGCCTGCACACCACGGCCGTGCACGACGACGGGCAGCAGGTGATGGGGCGGCAGCAGCCCTCCTGCAGGCCGCAGGGGTCGCAGCACACGGGCCTGGGGCAGGGCTCGACGATGGGGCGCGTGTAGCGGGGCACGCAGCTCACGGGCCGGCACACGGTGGTCTGGCAGGACACGGGACGGCAGCAGCAGGGGTCGCGGCCGCAGCAGGGCTGCAGGCAGCCACCCCCGCAGCTCAGGGAGGAGAAGGAGCCGCAGCAGGACATGGTGGAGGCGGGTGGAGAGGTGGAGGCGCGGGAGGAGCTGGTTCTCAGAACTGATGCCCTCCTCCCGGGCTGGGGCCTTTATATACCCTGGCCGGGGCTCCTGACCTTTTGGACTCAAGGTCATTTCCTGGAGTAGTGGCTCGATTTGGTCCCTGAGGGAGCAATTCCAAGCCCAGGAAGGGTGCTCCCCTTTCTACTTGCCAGCTGTTTCACTTGAGGTGAATACTTGGTGACTGATATCATCAGAAGCATTGCTCATCAGTTGGCCTGTCCTTCCGGGCCACCATGACACTTTCCTCTTGTTGCGGGCCAGGGACTGAGACGTTTGAGTCATAATCTGGTCTCTAATTGGCATCAAGGTGAAGCAAGTATTCCTAGAAGGCTGAAGTGGCTCATTAGAGGTGTGCATCTCTTCTGCTTTGGCAAAGATGGCCAACGCTTCTGGAAAACAACATATTGCTTCCCTTCCTTTGTGCGAGAAAGTAGTCACCGAGGCCACTGCAGTGACTGTGCTCCTGTGTGAGTCGGCCAGTAATGATAACAATCACAGTCACTGTGAGCAGATGCTCCACAAACAGTGCTTTACTATTTGGGGGTGGAGAAAGAAAAATAGATTCTGAGTGGTTTCCTATCACGCAGTCATCACAAAGTTTGGGAAGGTGAAACAGACGTAGACAAAGCAATTAACTAATGGAGAACAGCATTTCATGGATCAACAAAGTCAAATGAAAGGAGGGTTTTATTCCTAATGTTCCTTTCGAATGCTCTTCCCTGATTAGATTCTTGGGTAGAAAATTGAAGTTGGGGTAGTCCTTGCTTCCTGGGCATGATACAAGTGCCCTGTATTACATTCTTGAAAGTCTATTGAGGGTGTGCATGCAGGAATCCATTATCTTCTGTTACAGAGTGGTTTGTTGACTGAGGATCTTGAGCGGTTTTGCAGTGTGAGATGGGGTTATAAGAAGACTAGGCAAATTCAGTGACTGATAAAGTAGGTTTACTTTTTCCCATCATAGCTAAGAATGTACGTGCAGGATGTAAACAAGGAGAGGATGGAGACAAAAGGTGGCGTGGTCCAAGGGTGACTGATGCCCTTCACACCGAAGATGTGTGTGCTTCGGTTTGCATGCTCCTCTTCCATGCTGTCTTTGTCCACCTTCATCCGGACTCTTGAGACCTTTGAGATTCAGACCCACCATGGTCTATCAAATTTCTTGAAAGATCAGATTTGTGCAGTGATTTCTCCAAAGCCATTCAGACAAAGCAGTGACAAGTCTTCAACAGTTGCAGAGGTCTTCCACTGAGCATAAACGCTGATGAGTGGCTCCTCATCCCTCTTCCCCAAAACAGTGAACACATAGCAGCTTTTATGAAAAATTCTATTCTACCCAGTGAAATAAAATCAGCATTTTTTTATTTATGGCTGGGCCTGCCGTAAGTTGGCTTAGGATAGATAAATACACCCGGATACTAGGAACAAGAATAAGTCTGTAAGTCTATTGGTTTTGTTAATGAATTAAAGGACGTGGTATTAAGACATTTTGCTTTCTAGAGTCATAGACTCTCAGAAAGTTTTCTGCTCCAAGTCACATCAGTAAGGAGAAAACTCTTATCTTGACAGAAGCTCAGTCACTCTGAAACAAGGAAGTAGCCCCAATATCCAAGTGGGGGGCAGAGTTTCAAGTAAGAGATTTTCAGACACAATATTGCCCGTTTATGTTAACTGCATCATTTCCATCAAAAGAGATTCAGTCCTGAGGTTGATTCTGCTGCCAATAGCCTGCGCAAAGCAACTTTGAGCCTGTACAAACCCACCTCCTGGGCTGTTTCCAGAACTCTAAGCTGCAAATCCTGTAATGGCATCTTTCTTCCCTCGGTGACCTGCTGTGCGGCTCCTTTGTTATCGCACACTGAGACACGTCAGATGCCAGGCGAGGGGTGTGCCCCCAGTCTTTATGACACGGGGCTTTTGCAGTCGTATTATTCCAGTGCCACACATTCTGCAAGATCATAATCACCAGCAGAAACAAGTAATACTAACTATAGTAATCATCGTGGGATTCTTGTGTTGAGTTGGGGGAGAAAAAGTAGTGATGTTGATTTTTGTGACAAAGAGCCACGTATGTCCTCCTCTTCGTAGTTTCATGTGTTGTTTTGTTAGTAACTAGTTTTTTGGGGGGCATCACTGGATATCAGGAAACTTCTAAGATTTTCAAAACAGAATATGTATTTCCTGGGGATTTCATTCTCAGAAGTAATCTTAAAATTATTCTCCAATCATAAGAGTCAGTGGGAGGTTGAGGGGGGAAAGGGCAAAGGGCAAATAGAAATGATGAAAAAGGATTCAAATCCCTGCCCCACATTTAGCAGTTGTCTTGAGAACAGATGACTTACACACTCCCAGCCTCTGCTGCTTCATCTGTGAAATGGGCGAGTCTTCAGAGTCTGGTGTTCTCCTCGACTGGTTTGTTACAAAATCCACACAAACATGGAAGACAGAAGGATGACTATGATTCATTAAAAAGAGAAACTATTTTAGTAGGAAAGGACAGAAACACAATGATCAGGAACTTGTGAGATTTGTGTTTCTGGAATTTAAAAAAATATAAGCGTATCATGTAAGTGGTTTAGATATTTGTCTGAGTAAAGTCAGGGAAACTCTTTGGGGGCTAGATAATCCTTTGGGGATCTTACTGTTTTTAGCTGTTTGATTTCTTCGGATGGGTCAGTGTGAAAGAAGGAATCTAGCAGGTACACCTAGCACACCCAGCTGTCTTTTCTGTGGATGCTAAACTCCTACTTACAGATCTTGTAGTCTACAATTCGTTCCTGTGGACTTATTCAATTGAATTTACAGTACTCTTTTATTCCAGCACAACCTCAGTTTGACACCCAATTGAAGTTTTGACCATCTTTACTATAGTCATCAAGAATATATTTCTACCAGTGGACGTGGACCATCCTGGGAAAAAACAGTCAATGTGTGGTCAGTGAAGTCTTCTCCCTAATTCTTCCCGACTCAGTGACCTGTTGAGTTGCACACAGCATCTCTTTTGCTCCTGTCCGATATGGTGGTGCTTGGATGCACTGTGGGTACTATAAATGAATGGTGCTAGCGCCTACTGTGTGCTGGGCACGTCACATGCATAAAGTAATTTAACTTTCCCAGCAATCCACAGTGATAAATGTTAACTTTCCCATTTTGAAGATAGGAGACGTGAGGTTCAAATAAGTTAAGTTACACTGACGCTGAAGTTTTTACTTGGACTAAATATCCTACCTTTTAGAATTTTTGTTGTAAAGACGATTTCCTTCCAATTTAGTTTGATTCAGCGAACAGGAAAGAAGTATCAACTGTATACCAAGCGCTCTGAACTCAAGACTGGGAGCCAAAATCGATAAAACTGTAGTTCCTTCCTTGACAGCAGAGAAGTAACCTCAATATGGTGTGTTATAGGGAAGGAGGAAAGCTCAGGATGCTGCCGGAGCGCTTCATCCAGCTATTGGATGTTTGTGCGTGTGTGTGCGTGTGCTTGTGTGTGTTTGTTTGTGGAGAAGGCAGAGATGAATCATGGAAATGAATCAGGCAGATAAAGAAAGTGAAGCGGAAGAAAAGATGAAAGAAAGTTCTAGATAAATGAAAAATCACAAGCAAGAGCAAAGACGCATGGAGCTGGGAAAGTTCAGCAACTGTGAGAAGCTCAGGGCTGCTTGGAGCACAACCGGGCATGGAGCGGGTGGTGAGACGCAGATCTGTAGAGCGGGCAGAAGATCAGGACAGGGGAGCCGACTGGACGAGTGTGGGTCCCGGGTGACCAGGCCCTCTCTCGTCTTCCTCATCCCCTCCATCTCCAAAGCTTCCCTCTCTTCCTGACCTCACCTCCCCTGCTCCACTTTTCAGTCAGTCCCATGTCTGTCCTTCCTTTCTTGCCTCTTTGTAATTGAGGTAGACATTTCTGCCCCGCCCACAGCAAGCCCATCACCTACAGATCTACAGATCTGTAGATCTACAGCCCATCACCCTTCCATCTGCAGATGCTCCGCCGCCTCACTGAGCCCTCGGTTACAGCCTGGCAGGTGCTATTTCAATCTCATTGCTGTATCACCCTCTTCGCTTAATGGTGAGTGTCTTCTTATGACTTGTTCCAGAGCAAATTCTGGATGAATTCCAGTCCCACACATTCCAGGGCTGCCTGTGAAGCCTGCAAGAACTCAAATCCAGGTCTTCCTCAGAGACCGAGATCCCGAAATTCTAATCTGTGTGAGAGTCACGTAGAAGTGACGATGAAAAAGCACACGCTTGGATCCTGTCCCCAGAGGTTTTAACTCGGAAGGTTTGGTCTGGGGCCTAAGTGTGTGCATTCTAACAAATGTCCAGGAGATTCTGAAATGGGTGATGCACGGACCACACTTTGAAAGTCAGTGTTCTAGGCACCTACGGAGCCAAGCTAGGCTGTGCTGGTCAGCGTCCTGCCAGTGGCCACTCCGGGGGTGGAAACACCACTTCCACTCGTTCTACTGCCCTTTCCTGGCACTGTCCACATAAACGTCCAACCCAGCAGACTGTCTGTACCTGAGCTGCAGAGGATGTAGCTGGTTCCTCACTAATCAGGCAGGACCTGAGGGTGGAGGTCCTGCCCATGCATTGCTGAATGCTGAGTGAGTGGGATATTTCTGGGTAACGTTTCCCTTCGGTTACACTTTTGACCCTTGCGCAGATTCTACAGTCCTGCTCACTGCGCAGAGTAAGGAGCACACGGTACTGAACGACCCAGGGAGCAGGGAGGATTTGCTCTGCCAGGAGACTTCAGTTTATTGACAACAGTGTGCAACACATTACAAAAGGTGAGGGTTCGAGCACCCCTCACCGCCAGGGCTCAGGGTGGGTTTGCGAGGCCCATTCTGGAGGCTTTTCATCCTACGTGGCCCATCCATGGTGACATCTGATGCAGACCCTGGGAGTGTGGTGGAGGGTGGCGAAGATCTCGTGTGGGTGGTAGCATGTGAAACTGCTGTCACTTCACGGAGAAAAAAATTTTTTTCCACTTGATTAAAAGGCCAGACAAATGCTCAGGCCTCTTCTGCTGCCGTGTGAGGGGCTGGGGCTCAGCAGCGGCAGGGGTCAAGGCTGGGGCCCCTGCAGGTCACACGGCACGGCGCAGGCCGGCAGCACGGAGGGCGGCAGCAGGGAGCCTGCACGCTCACCGGCTGGCAGCAGGTGGACGCCCAGCAGCAGGGCCGGCACACCACGGCCGTGCACGACGACGGGCAGCAGGTGATGGGGCGGCAGCAGCCCTCCTGCAGGCCGCAGGGGTCGCAGCACACGGGCCTGGGGCAGGGCTCGACGATGGGGCGCGTGTAGCGGGGCACGCAGCTCACGGGCCGGCACACGGTGGTCTGGCAGGACACGGGGCGGCAGCAGCAGGGGTCGCGGCCGCAGCAGGGCTGCAGGCAGCCGCCCCCGCAGCTCAGGGAGGAGAAGGAGCCGCAGCAGGACATGGTGGAGGCGGGTGGAGAGGTGGAGGCGCGGGAGGAGCTGGTTCTCAGGGTTGATGTCCTCCTCCCTGGCTGGGGCCTTTATATACCCTGGCTGGGGCTCGCGATCTTCTGGACCCAAGGTCACTCCTCGTTAATGTTCTGGCCAATGAAGTGAGGAGTTGGCCTTGACTCATGACACTTGTGGTCACTCCCACCTCAGAGGCATCCATGTACACACAGCCCAAAAATAGTCCTTCATTTCCTTGTATTGTTTATTTACCAGGTTTAGACGTCGGATTCAATCCTGGTGAATTTGCCTCTAAAATATTTCTGACCCGCAAGAGAGAAAAGAATGTGTTTTGAGATGGAGTGTCTAATCCCTCTGCTCCTTGCACCTGACCTCAGCGGTTCAGCCCTCGCCTTCAAAGCCTCTGCGGGTTGCCTCCCACGCAGTGACTGGCTTCCTTCACCCTCGGAGGGGACAGTCACAGGTTAATAGCATCACTCCAGGCTGACCATCGGCAGCTGTTCTGGAGATGCCCTCCCGTCACTCACACAGGGCTGCTTGTGGCTTCTCAGAGCGCATGGAACGCCCGCCCCGCCTGGCTGGTTGAGTCACTCTCTCTTGAGGAGGGCCCTGGCCTTCCTGCCTGGGTTGTTGATGTCTCCTCCTTCACCTGGGACACCCTCCTCATCCTCCCAGCCCCAGCTCAGCGTCCACCTGGATTGTTAAAACCTGCCGCAAAGACTCAGCGCGTTCACTGCAGTTTGACCCTTGCAGTGTATTTAGGATCTGTCCTGCCACCTGCGGAGTCTTGGCAAAGACCGTAGACAGTGTGTAGTTCTCTTCTCCCACTGTCCAGCCCAGGGAGGCCGCAGGGAGAAGTCTCGGCTCCAGGTCTCCCGCTTCCTCAGCACACGGCTTCTATTGGATGTTGTGCTTTATCCTGACCCTTTACCTGTGCTTTATTCAGGTAAGCAGCTGCTCCTTCACCTCACCAGCCTCATGCATACACAGGAAAGGAGGTAGGGAAGCAGTTGACCCCAGGGACAGATAACCTGACAGGGCCTCAGGATTTCTGGGTGGGGTCACCCCCCTGGCTCCAGGCCAGTAGAGGGCAACTTCCTGTTGGCTTGCTGGTCCGCTTTGTTCCCAGGATGCTGGTCTCAAGGTTCAGTCTGACTTCACTTGGTCACAGCTGGTGGAAATGTGAGATGTGGCCACGCCTCATTCCCTTTATGGATATTATTTGTACCTTTGCCATATATATTATCTTTTCTGATGCTTTCCATAGATGTAACTTCTTACTTTGTAAGCAGATCAATATTTCCCTTTTGAATGTGGAAAAGAATAAAAAAGAATCCTGATGATCAAACACGTTTGCTTTCTGTGAGGCCTGCAAGTGGGTAGGGGAGGGGAGAAAGGAACAAAAGGCTTTACGAACTCCCCTGGAATCTTTTGAAATGTCATTTATAGGTGGGCATAGTGGTGCACACCTCTCATCCCAGTACTGAGGAGGCTGAGGCAGGAAGATCATCACAAGTTCAAGGCCAACCTGGGCTACATAGTGAGTGCAAGGCCAGCCTGAACTGCATAGTGAAACCCTGACTCAAAAAAAAATTGAAAAAATTTTTAAAACATCATTTTTCCTGGGGTTTCCCATCTCAGGCTTCAAACAGAAGGCTCTGTGCCGTCATGAGGGAATTAGTACCATCTCACACTGAAGATTGCAAGGAAGGCGCCATCGATATAAATGATATCCAGTTCTTTCTCCATCCAGCCTGAGGTGAAGATGCCTTCGTGGTTCCTTCAGAATGTTACTTATTTTTACCATGGATCAAATAAAGCTCCGAGACCATGTGGTTAGAACTGTATGTACTCTCACTGGCAAACATATTAGGATTTAGTAAGAGGATAAGATTTCTGGGTTTATTGACATTTTCTTTATGACTAATTTTCTATGGACATTTTTGGTCTGCCAATCCTTGAGCCAATGTCTTTTATCATAGTTTTATAAGGAATCCCATCTTATTTTATTGAGGGGCTTTTCTTGGAAGCTGATCCCCATTTTTTTCTAAGAAGAGTTTGGCATAATTCCTCAAATGTACTTTCACTGTTAGAAAATTTTTTATTTTGTTTTTTATTAGTACCTGTTTGCGGTATATGCAGTTTACGATCACCTTGAGGAGTGGGTGTGTGTATGCACTAGAGCTTGTTTCTGTCTCTTTTTTTCTTTTGGTCTGTTTGAGACAGGGTCTCACTATGCAGTTCAGCCTGGCCTTGAACTCACTTTGTAGCCCAGGCTGGCCTTGAACCTGCAGTGATCCTCCTGCCTCAGCCTCCGCAGTGCTGGGATTAGAGGTACGTGCCACCACATCCGGCTTTGTTTTAATCCCCTTCCCCTCCCCCTCTAATTCCTCCACCCCCATTTTCCTTCTTGTTGATATTGTTAGTATTACCTCCTGTCTATGGCACATAATGTTTACATTCACTGAGTTCCTGGGGTGCTGTGCACAGTCACCTTTGCTCTACTTATTTCTGCTTCCGCTTCCGCCCCCCCTCACCCCTCAGCTTTTTCCCTGAGAAAAACCCCTTCCCAGTTACAAGAGATCCATCCCTGGTCTCCTTCTATCCATCTTTTATTATTCTCTCTGTTAGTACTTTGCCCTTCACAAACAAGAGATACCACATTGTACTATACCGTAAACCAGCCTGTGTGTCTGGTTTACTTCACTCAGCATTATATTTCCCTGGTGTATCTGTTTTCCTACAAATGTCTCAAATTTGTTGTTCTTTATAGCAGGCTAGTACTCCATTATATACCGATAGCGCATTTTCCTTACCCAAGCGTCTGCTGATGGGTACACAGGCTGCTTCCAGGATTTAGCTATTATGAGTTGTGCCGCTATAAACATTGGGAGGTATGTGTCGCTGTCTTAAGCTCTTTTGGGAACATATTCAGAAGGGCGATCCCTGGGTCATATGGAATTTTTAATTTTAGTTCTTTGAGTGCTGTCCACACTGCCTTCCATAACAGCTGTAGCAATTTACGTTCCCACCAACAGGAGGGCTCCTTTAGCACCCTAGCTTTTCCAGCATTTTGCTATTTTTTGATTTCTTGATGACTGCCATTCTTTCTGCTGCAAGATGGAATCTTAGCGTTAATTTGCATTTCTCTAAATGGCTATAGATGTTGATCACTTTTTCATGTATTTGTCTACCATTTGGATTTCTTCCTCTGTGAAATATCTGTTCCTTTCTTTGCCCATTTCTTGGAGTCTTTTATTTTGGGTGATCTAATTTTTTTGAGTCCTTTATATATTCCAGGTATTAGCCCTAGATGGATGCTGGATTTAGTGCCGTTTCTCCACTACATGAGAACTTTTAATTACCATTTAATGTGTATTTGATATGTTCCACATCATTTATGTCCTATCTGATTTATGATTGTAATAGTCTACAGAGATACATATTATTATCTTCACTCTGTAGATTAGGAATCTGAAGCTTGGAGAAATTAACAAATGTTCCCAAAGTCACATACCTTTTAAATAAGAGACTCTGGGTTCAATTCCAAGCATGCCTGACCCATAAACCTGTGGTTGAACAAAGGGAGGGGAAGGGAATGAGAAAAAAAGAATTAAAATATATTACGGAATTTTTTTTTTTTTTTTTTTCTGGTACCAGGAACCCAACTCACGACCTTGCGCTTGCCAGGCAGGTGCTGTGCTGCTGAGCTAAATTCCCAGCCCCTAAAATACATTATATACTGGTACAAATTCCTTAAGATGAGTGTGAACACTATGTATGACAAATATGTACTAATAAAAATTTTTTTAAAAAAATTGAGATTATCCTTCAGTGTTATATCGATAGTTATACTTGGTGCTATCCATTAGAGTTCAATTTTATCTACAAATTTATTAACATGTGCCTTCCAGATAATTCATTAAAACTTAAAACATGACCCACCCTTGTGCATATTCATGGGTACTACGCTATTCTTATTTACTTTGCAGAAAACAATCTGCTTATATTTTCCCATGGATTGGTGTGTTAAGCTAGTGTGTCATTGTTGCCAGGGTTGATTAGTCAGCTATTGCTGAATAACAAGAAAACCACAAACCTTATTGCACACAAAAATAAGTACTTATTTCTTGGTCATGTGAATGCCAGTTCATTGACGTTTGGTTCATCAAGGCTGAGATTGGCTTCTGGCCACAGATTAGTGCAGACATTCTTTTTCAATCAGACTATCTATATTTAGCAAATAAAAATGTTTCCCCAGTTAAATTTGAATTTCTGGTAAGTAGCAAATAATTTTTATTATAATTACATCTCAGTATAGATGGGGTTTGTTTATATATACAGTGTACTTGTGGATTATCTGAAACTCAAATTTAAGGAGGCATCCTGCATTTTGGCTGGTAACTTTCTTGATCGCAGAAGCACCGGAGAACAACCCCAGACAGGCAGTTGCACTTCAGGTGTTTGCTTTGGGGGAGAGGATACTTCTCCTAGGGAGGAGGACAGAAGGAAGAGAGGATACTAATGGAAAATAAGCTAATTTCCTGAAGTGGAGGATCAATTAAGCAATCTCTGTTATCAAGCTTGAGCAAAGACTTTCAGAATTAAATCATGTCCATAGCTCTCCATGTAAGTGATTTTTATTCTTCTTTCCTCTCTTTCTGGTCAGCCGAGAAATGTCATTCATTAAACAAGGCCAATATGTTTCTTTAGGAAAAAAGAAGTTCATATTGTCAATCTCCTATTAGTTTATATTTGGTCGGGTATTTAAAAGATTTTTTAAAATGCCTAAAAATACCTATTAGGAATAACACCAACTTTATGAAAGTAGATGGTGACTTAATCAAATGTTTCATCAGAAATTTTGTTTAATTGCTTAAAATAAGTATAGATTATCCCAAGGGTTAATAGTGATTGTTTTTTCTCTAGCAAAAATTCAATTGAGGACTTGAGTTAATATGTATCTCTCTCTTCAATACACAGATATAACCACAGTGGTTATAACTTACAGCCCACATCTTACCTGTT